TGCAGCCCACACATTACGGTGGGCCCAGTTAAGGCAGTGCTGAGTTTTGAGCATGACAACCACACAGCATCCACACAACTGTATTATAGACCCATGGTGTCTGTAGACAGCAGGAAAGGGGCAGGGTCCTAGGGGTGGGCAGCGGAGGCCTTGAAGGCCTGCTTTTCACATTGTCCTCTCAATAGAAGGCAGCTGGTTGGAACTGGCTCATAGAAACCACCATGAGCCGACCTTACATTCCTTTCTTTGAAGAGCTTGTATATCCCACAAATACTAATTCCTCTCCGACAAAATTACCTTCCTCTCACGCTTGAAATCCTGACCTATACTAACCACATCTTGAAACTGATGGTTTTTTTTTTCCAGATGATATTAGACTAAATTTTATATCCTCAGATTTCCTTTAAAAAAAAAATCAGCTCTTCTCCACATGGTCCTTTTGAAATCCAGGTTGTATCCAGTCCATGTTGAAGACTCACATAGTGTTTACTTTGGGACCCAGATTTCTCAGGCCCTGGAAAGACCCAATCTTTGGTTTATCTACTAGCTAGCACATGGGATGCCATGCTTGGTGGTGCTTCTATTATCTGATCTGGATGTCCTGTGGCCATTTGTCTACCTTTAAAACCAAAGAAGATGTCCAGTGCTCTTGAGATGCTCTGAATCCCACCTGAAGCATCGGCATTTTCTTCTCTTTCACAGTTGCATTCATTGAGGAACTCAAGGCATCATCCTGTGATAATGTATGCCTTTACCCATGAATGGGTGTCTGACAGTGTTGGAGGAATTTCACTGAGTGAACTGAGCCCAATTCATTCTACCCGCTCCCCAAGCTTTGATGGACATATGTCAGTCCACAAGAGAAAGTGTCATTTTCTTCTTGGAGGGAGTCCGTGTGTGTTATGTTTAGTTCTTAATGTGACTCCTGGGGCCTGTCCATATTCTAAGCCCCTCCCTAGTGAAAAGCATTTCTGTCTCCTCCAAACGCCTCTTACTCTTTATTGTTTCTTTAGGATCTGTCAGTCTTGGTCAGTTTCCATAGGCATGAATTAGTAAGAGTGAAAAAACAATAATCTTCCGAATAATTCACATTGTGTGAGGCATGTCTTATGGTTTAGCTAACGGGGCTGGTGTATAGAAAACTTTGTGGCACTGTTGAGAATTAACCAGGTCATGGGAGCTCTGACTTCATCAGCAGATTAACTCTTTGATGAGTTTGTAGCAGAATGGGCTATTAGAAGATAAGGCCTGTTGGAGGAGGTAGGCTGCTGGTAGTGGTCTTTTGAAGGGTAAACTTTCTGAAGACCCTTCCTCTGCCTCCCTCTCTTCTTCTTGACTGCCACAAGGTAATCAGCACTGCTTACTACCATGGTGTGCAGTATCCCCTCAGCTGAAAGCAACCTGACCAAGCAGTTGCGGATTGGATCCTCTGAAACCCTGTCTCAAGTGAATGCTCCTTCTAAAATGTTTTTCTTGAGTATTTTGTCATAGCAATGAAAATTCACTAACAGAAACAGATGAAGAAGCATTTTTAAAGAGAACCCTGCTGTGGTCTGGATGTTTGTTTCCTCCAACCTCACTGACCCTTGCAAATTCAGATGTGAAAATATCAATACCCCCAAATCCATGGGGCCCATTGGAATAAATGATATCTTGAGGGCAGAGTTTTCATGAGTGGGATTAGCGAGCTTGTAAAAAGAGGCTCTAGAGAGACCCCTAAGCTGAGTAATGACACAGAACAAAGGCACAGAAAGAAGGCACTAGAAAAGAGACCCACATTAGACAGCAAAATTGGTGTTGCCTTGATGGAGGGCCACTTACCTATTAGAACTGTGAGAAACAGATTGACATAGTTTAAAAGTTATTTGGTTTCTGGCATTTTGCTATAGCAACCCAAATGAACTAACAATCCCCAAACTTCCAATGTGCATAATTATTTTATGTATACACACACAAAAATAAACAAACAAATAAAAAAAACCAACCCTCCCTGAAATCACCCAGCTAACCCTCTTCCTTCTGCCAGAAAGGCAACATAAGGTAAGGTGAGAAACCAGTTTCAGGTCAAGTTGGTACACAGGAAGTCCTTTTTTTCCCCAGACACAGTTAGACAGGCCCTTGCTCCCACAGCCTTGCCTTACCTGACAGCAGTCCTCTTGGCTCATCATGGGATGAGATTTGCCCCTGAAGATGGAATCTGTGTCTCTACCCACTATCGCTTCTCCTCCAGCTCTCACCCTCCCCAGGTGGTGGCCCCAGGCCCCCTCCCTAGCATTGACACCACTGTTTTCTACAGCATGTGTAAAGCACACACAGACTCAGTTTAGGGACAGTTAATTTCCAATTCTTTCCAGATGGGTTGGAATAATATCCCCAGGTGGTAAATACATTATTAAGAAGGCAGTTTGGTGTGAAATTGGCTATTAAAATATAGATAAAGTTTAATACATTGAGCTCCTTGTCAGAGAAATCACTTTAGAGGGAGCTTATTATTTGTTTGATATTAAAAGAGTCACAGCTCTGCTCCAAGTGACAAATGGGGAGGGGGGAAATGCCACTGGTAATGAACAAAAGCTTTTTAACATTTAAATTTAGGTTTTTCTTGTTGCCCTGCGTGCTGCCATGAGCATGCCCATGTAGTGCAGCCAGAAGCGGGCGACAGAAATGTCAGGATCTCAGGAGCCAAAGAGGCTGCCAACCTGGCTGTAAACAGCTGGAGTCTCCCCCATCGAAGGAGCTACCGGATAGAGCAGAGTGGAGTTTCAGGTGGTTCCCTTGGCAACACTGGAAAGGAGACAGGGATCTATCTCCAGGCAGAGTGTGGACGTCCCTCCCGCCTTCTTCTTCAATATGACAACCTCATTCCGCCAAGCATCTCCACCTCACCTGCTACATTTCAGGAGGCCTATTTTTGCATTGAAGCTACCAGTCTTGGGAACTCATGTTCTCTGCATAGACATTTCACTAAATGTGGCTATTAAAGAACTATTGCTAACAACAAAAGAAGTCCATTAAAACATCAGTGTACAAACCTGGAGATTTTCTGCATAATATCTCATCCAAGCCAAGTACTTAACAACAGCACCTCTCAAGTCCCCTACTAAGGGAGCCCCAAACTTACAACTGAAGTTAACATCCTTCCTCATACTAGCAAAATCTTCTAAGAACCAGGAAAATCCCCAGAACAGGTGAGTATAAACCACAATCCAGGAAACAATCCCATCTTTAGTCAAAGAGTAAGCCAATGGCCTACAATTGCATGCTTGTGGAATGGATGCATTCTTGGGGGAAAATGGTGAACGATTGGGAAGGGGACCTTGAAGAAGAGAAGAATAACAATGATGTATGCTGATCACCATGGCAAAATAGGTAGAAGCCCTTATTCCTAGTCCCCCAAACACACACATCCCCACATGTACAGGTGTATACAAACTCACGCATGCTCCTGAGGTGGGGTGGCCACTTCTTTCTTAAGGTGGACATCAGGAATGAGGGAATGGCCTCCAGTTTTTAAGCCGAAGTGACAAAAGAATATTTCCACAAGCATGAAAGGAAAGCTGAGTGCTGTTATGCTATTTAAGCGATAGTCTGTCCACAACATCATGGTCACTGGTGTTAAGGGAGCATTAGCCATGATAGTCCATTTCCAACTTTGCCTGGTGGTCACAGGCCAGCCAACAGCTGACCATATACACCATCACTACATGAGGGGGGGCAAAGAGTTCCATCATGTAACACACTCAGTGTGGGCAGTAAAGCATATGTGGATGAGGATACAGTAAGCACAGATTTCCTAGATCTCAAGCAGGGTATTGGGAGCCAGCCCAGACATCTACTGGGCACCCCAATCTCAGAATGCCAAATTGAGAGTCCCTCTCTTAGTTGAACTCTAGAAACCCCACAGCAACTATGTATGTGGCCACCAAGAGGGTGTGCTTGAGAAGACCTTGCCATCTGCTATGTTGTTTAGCTTACTGTGTCCTGCTTCAATATGGGGTAACTGTTGTACTGCCTAGATGACTAACAGCAATACATTATGTGTTTTAAGTCATGAGTGGCTAGATTGTAACTTAACTTTTTTCTTAGAGAAAATTTCAGTACATGGGGCTTGAAACTGACAAAATAAAACATCAGATACTAAAACTGAGACTGAGTCTCCTGAGATCTGAATGAACATTAACAAATAAAAATAAGGGGTTGAATAGATAGCTTCATGGTTAAGAGCACTGGTTGGTCTTCCAGACGACCCAGGTTCAGTTTCCAGCAACCACATGGGGGCTCACAATAGGCTGTAACTCTATTTCCAGAGGGTTGACACCTCTTCTGGCATCTTCAGACCTTGCATGTATGTGACCCATATACATACATGCAGACAAAACATTACATTACATGCATAACTAAAAATAAATAAACATTTTGTTTAATAAAAGTCCTATGCTTTGGAAGGAATTCTTTTGTACCAGAGAAGAATTCAGCCAGTTTCATTAACACATTCTACTTGGTATGCATTCAGTTTTACCACATGTATCTCTGTCTAGATTAGTCCTTTCTTAAAGCAAATGACTAGAGTAACAGAGCTAATGAACAAGGCCAGGATTTGATTCCAGGTATCTGCCCAGGAAAAGTGTCAAGTTACTCTAAAATGCTTTGAATTACTTATAAGGTTATTATTGTTTACCTGTGTGTGTGTGTGTGTGTGTGTGTGTGTGTGTGTGTGTGTGTACTTGATTTGAGGCATGTGGGTACATGTCTGTGCACAGTGTAGGTAGGCCAGAGGTGGACATTGGGTGGCATGTCCAATCTTTTTCCATGTTATTTTTTGAGACAAGGTTTCTCACTGATCCTGAAGCTGACTGCTTTGGCTAGCCTATCTGGCCAGCAAATCTCAAGGATCCTCCTGTCTCCAAATCCCCAGTGCTGGGATTAGAGGCTAGTGCTGCAACCTAGTTTTGTATGAGTGCTGGGGTATGTGTCTTAGCTATTTCTCTATTGCCATGCAGATACCAAGACCAAAACAACGTACAGAATGAAGAGTTTATTGGGCTTACAGCTTCAGAGGGTGAGTCCATGACCATTATGGAGGGAAGCATGGCAGAAGGCAGGTAGACATACATGGTGCTGGAGCAGAAGCTGAGCACTTACATCCTGGTCCATAAGCATGGCCGGAGAGAACACACTGGAAATAGCATGGGCTTTTTAAACAGTAAAACCCATCTCCAGCAAGATACCTCCTCCAACAAGGCCACAGATCCTAATCCTTCCCAAGCAGTTCCACCAGCTGGGGACCAAGCATTTAAATACATGAGTTTATGGGGGCCATTCTCATTCAAACCACCACAGTACATAACTCAAATACTCCTGCTCTGTGGCAAGTACTTCATTAACTGAGCCCCCTTCCCAGCCCTCACCTTTAAGTAGATTTCTTTTCCATAGATAGCAGAGTGTGTATGGGGAGGGCAACAAGAAAAGAGGAAATGATTGACTGGAGGTTATTTTTTCAGTTAATCAATCTGATTAGACCTTATGTCCTACTTTTCACAGTACTCGACAGCTTGGCAATGACTCTTAACCACTTGATCTCATTTGAACTTTAAAACAACCCCACGATTATAAGCATTATCGTCTGTATATCAGTGCAGAAATAATGAGATTTAAAAAAATCAAAGTGATTTTCTGATAGACTATAAAATATTAAGTACAGCTTCTTCTTTCATCTGGGAAAACTAACACGACAAAGATTTGAAAGAAAAAACGTGGAGTGGAAAACTTAAAGAGAATCAACCTGTTAGCTAAATTTTCTTCAAATTGGAAACATGTTAAGAGTTGATACCAGGTCCTTGTGTCTGCTACAACCAATCACCACAGATATGATACTTCAAAACAACAATGATTTTCATGGATCTGGAGACTAGAAGTCTAACATCACTGTCATTGGGCCAGTATGACATAAGCTCATGCTTCTCCCCAAAGCCCATCTTTATCTGCTCCAGCATTGACTAGCTGTTAGCTTTCCTCCCAACTCGTGGCCACGATTTCCCCATCTCTAAGCCTGGACTCTCAAAAGCACCCTCTTCTCTGCCTTCTCATCACTTTTTTTTTCCACAAAAGAGCTGGCTTGCTCTCAGAGAGTTCCGTGTAATTGTATTCAATACCACTCTGATAAAATAGGGAAATCATTTCATGGAAGGAAAGAAAGAAAGAAAGGAAGAAAGGAAGGAAGGAAGGAAGGAAGGAAGGAAGAGAAAGCCAACATAAGCAACCAGGAAAGACCTCCTTGGGCCACATAACTAACATCTCAATGATCCATAAACTAGAGTTTATACTATTTAAATATTATTCTTTTTGGAGTGAAGTATCACTTTTTAGCTCACAACAGAATTCTTTCTTTCTTTCTTTCTTTCTTTTTTTTTTTAAGAATGTGCTAATGATGAAGTACTTTTATCATCACCAATAACCTGGAAGTCATAACTGAAGAGCGAGCAGAAGGGTGTACTTAGAAGTTTGGTCTATAGTTCCTTGGCTCCAGTGCATGGGCAGAACATCATGGTGGAAAGGAAGCAGAAAAGAGGTACTTGCCTGGTTTCTACCTTGCATTGGGTCCTTACTCTCAGTCCATAGGATGCAACTCACTGTCAGGGTGTGTCCTTCTGTCTCAGTTAGTACTATCTGCAAAGGCCTTCACAAACACAACTATCTAGAGATAAACATTATCAGACTCCTGGGTGAGTCTAAATACAGTGAAGAAAATGAAGGTTAAATATCACACTAAGAAAATATTGTAATCTATTACTTCTAGTAATGGAGTAATATCTGTAATTTCTAAATATCTAACCTCCTAGGCCACAGAGGAGGCTGAAGTCTGGACTAATGGACAGTGTGTTCCTAATACAAAACTTCTCTAAGAGATGAGTATGGGAATAGATCAGGAACCTGTTCTGAATGTCAAACATCTTGTACTTCCTCCCAGACTTTGGACAATCATTAGAATCTGCATCCCTTTCCCACTGAGCACTGGATGATAGGTTAGCAGAGCCCACCACACTATCATGTAAAAAATGGGCAAATCCAAGAAGTCACTCACCCTTCTCAGAAGCCAACTAGCTAACATCTTTCATCAAACTGAGTTTGGACAGAAATGCCAGTTGGATAAGTGGCAGTGAGGATGCAAGGGATAGGGAAACTGTCAGCTCTGTTCTGGTTTAAAAGGAAGTTGGATAACCAAGCCTTTCCCCAGAAGGAGCGGGCATCTCAAAGAGTGGAACTCACTTTTCTGTCTACTGTGAAGCTTTTTCTATCTGATTTCCCTGGAAGTCAGTCCCAAGATCATTATCCCTGGAGATGTTATTGTACTGCATATATATAGAGAAAGTGTTATTTATTTGTGACTGAGTTATTTAATTTTTGTTTAATTTTTTTCTCTTCTGGATGCCTGTAATGTTAAAGTTTTATTAATGATTCTTTCCTTTTTTGGAGACAGTTGGAAACCTGCCTATAATCTGGCAATCAGTAGTCAAAGTAAGGTAGGGAGAAAGAATCTGCGGTGAGCTTGGTAGAGAAAGGGAAGGCCAGTCTGGAAATGTCCTCTGCAATGATTGCCACTCCATCTTGGCTATGCCCTCTTTCCCTGTAGCTCTTCCTATACCTGTGGGGAATTATTATGCATAGTACAGGGAAATTTATAGACAATAGAATGTGTTTGTTTATGGCTCTGGAGGCTGGAATGTTGAAGAGCAATGTGCAAGCATCTAGTGATGGTCTTCAGACTCTATCAACCCATGGAAGAAGGCAAAAGGATGTGGAAAAGGGCAAGGCAGAAAGGAAAGGAAATCAAACTTTATCTTGCTACCAAAAGGCCACTGCTGAGACAACTAATACATCCCATTAACCCATTTGTGAGGGCAGAGTCCTTCTGGCCCAAACTTCCAAGGTCATACCTCTCAACATGGTGCATTTGGGGTGAAGTTTCCAGTACATAAACTATAGGGGGCATGTTCAGATCATAGCAAGAACACATCTTGATGTGAGTCAAAATTAGCCAGTTTCTGATATAATCTACTCTGGACAGATGAGAGAGGGGAGCAGAAACTGGATTATGCCACCTGCCTTCTTCTGTACCCAACGCCAACCTACCCCTTGTTGATATGAAGTGAGCTTTTCAGTACCATCTCCCAGACAGACAGAAGGGTTGTGATATATCTGAGTCCTTCATACTTCACGAATGTCTATTGCTTCTTCAATTCTATCCCCTCTCCATCCTATAATCAATCTAACACTACCAGTGTCCCCACATTAACCTGTAGGAACCATTCTCTTCTCCACTATTGTCCCTTCCATCCTTCCTCCCTGACGTAATTAGAGCCTGCATAGTCTTTTCTATTCATGGCATCCTTATCAAAATGTTTATTTTAATGCAAGATTCCCATAAATCTTAGAATGAAATTCAAACATAGAAGAAAACAAACAAATAAACAAACTATGCCTGCTCTAGTACCTATCTGCCTCTTCTTGTAACCTGATAGTGACATATTTTCTGCCACATCTCTATTGTCAACCTTGTTTCCTGGGAGGGGAGATCCTAAAAAGCATCACTGTAGGATAGGTCAATGGGTGGATGGATGGATGGGTGGAAGAATGAATGATGGCTAGAATCTCTTTCTAGATTGCTTGGAAGTAATACAGTAGTGAAGATGATGTTGATACTCCCAACAAATGCAGTTTTTCAGATTTCCGCCTAAATGAATATATTCTTATTCCTATATCTTCTTCTCTCTTCCATGCATTTATCTCTCCTATAGGGACATATGACAGGTCATATTGGGTAAGACCATTATAGATTAGATTTTCTGTCCTTCCATAATGCAATGTACTTTACAAGGAGTATAAGGGTTGGGGAGAGGTAGGACTCCTTTCTTGGGGACTATAGATCTAGCACAAATCTTCATGCCATGCACTATAGTTCAATGATCCACAAAGAAAGAGTATTAGGCATGGATATATACTTATCACTGTGTACACACATCCAACCCAGATTCCCCCATGGACATCCTCTATGAATCTGTTCTTTCTTAAACCTTTTCTTTCTTTTTGAAAATGACACTATATTTTATAAATTCCTTCATTTGAGGAGATAGGTACTCCCCTGGCCCTGAAGGTCAGAGACTGAGAAGTGTAACTCAGCATCTATTCTTATCTTTGCCCTTAATCCTAAAATACTGGAATTTCCAGACATCCCTTGGGTTGGCTGCAGCTGGTGACTAAATTCAGGCACACAAGACGTATGTAGCTTCTAGGACAAGTTCTTAAAGGGACACTCCTTTTCCTTGTTTCCATGTCTTGCTTCTGGCTGGAATGTGGGCTCCATGGATGGAACAAGGTTGATTATTTAGAAGACACCAAGCATGGAGAGAAAGAAAAGAGAAGTGCATATGACAGCAAGGAGGTCTGAATCACTGACTTCCGGCCACTGTCAAAAGTTCTTAGTTTGGGGTTCATAGTTCCAGGGGGGAGTAGAGTTCAAGATCACCCTGACGGGGAGTATGGTAGAGGCAGGTGGTCATGGTGCTGGAACAGTAACTGAAAGCTTACATTTGATCCACAAGCAGGAGACAGGGGTTCAGAGATGACATAAGCTTTTTAACTACAAAGCCTATTCCCTTAACATGCCTCCTCCAGCAAGGCCACACCTTCTCATCCTTCCTAAATAGTTCTACCAACCAAGGATCAAAAATTCAAATATATGTGCCTATGGGGGCTGTTCTAATTCAGACCAGCACAGCCATCATTTAGTTTCTGTCACATTAGCCAAATATTAACCAATAACTCAGAACTCAACACCAGTTTTTTTTTTTTTATAAGATGCTGCTGAAAGCTATTGTTTGACTATGGTCTAAAGGCCAACATTTTTTCAAACACATGAAATCTAGAAAGTGACTGTTGCCCTTTATGACTATTTATATTAACTGTCAGTTTTACAGACTCTAGAATCACCCACTAGATGGGGCTCTTGGGAAGCCAACAGGGATTATCTTGGTTGTGTTACATAAGGTGGAAAGACCTGTCCACTGTTGGTGATGCCAGTCCCTGGCTGGGACTCTAGACTGTATAAGTGGAGGTTGGAAACTGAGCAGAAACAAGCAGTCATCACCCTTCGCTTCCAGTTATGGATTGTTGTGACCAGCTGCTTCAAGCTCTGGTCATTTTAATTTCACTGCCATGGTGGGCTGTATCATGAACTGTCAGCCAAGCTAAATCCTTCCTTCATTGGTTGATTTTGTCGTAGTATTTTTTCATAGCCATAGGAAAGGAAATTAAAAGGCCCCTTTTCTGTCTTAGTCCTTGCCATTTGTATCCCTTCTAGTCTTGGGGAGGCAACGTTCTACAGTGAGAGGTGTAAATGTTTACATACCAGCCTTTCCTGAGCCTACTCTAGGTGTGATCAGTGCCCATAGTGGTCAGTAGCAAAGAACAGATCCACCCACATGTCAGAGTGAAGCAGCTAAGTACAGACCTAGCAAGGGCCAGCTTGGAGGACAGGTACTTACTGCCTGGGTAGTACAATGCTTCATAATTGTCTATAAAACACCTGAGGTATTACCTTTTCACTCACCAGCACAATCACGTCCACTTAGTTGAAAAGAGGAAGGGGAAAGGGAGGGAGAGAAATGTTCTTTGCTTTCTGGACTTTTAAATCAGATATCAAAACAATTCAAAAGAGGATAGATCTACAAAGGACCCCTCTTCTAGGCAGCACCTCAGGTGCCCCTAAGATGCAGCCCCACAGATTGGAGCCTGGGGCATTCAAGCCTTCTAGCACAGAGCAGTGGATTAGAGTTCGCCCTTCATGGCTATCTTCCTTTCCTTTAGCAGTTCCTTGCTGTGCTCAACCTTCCCGCGTGCTCCTCTGGCTACTGCTGGTACAACTCCATCTATAAATGACCTCAGCCCAGCTCAGGATTGATTCAACCTCCCTTATCTGTGTGATTAGCTTAGCTACAGAGCAGATATTTGGTGCTTATCAGCCCATTAAAGAGTCAAAGAATGCTGTTACCAGTTTTTTATCTCTGAAATGCACACAAAGCCCTGCTGATTATTCTATTAATTTGTTAATGAACCTGTCCACAGACAGACTCTCTGTTCCTTTGGAAGGCAGGATGGGGAGTTGAACGTTTAAAGGAAGTTGAGTCTTCAGAAGTAAAGCTTGAAAGTTTAAAAGTGCTTGTGGACGCTGAGATGCTCATGCTTAATTTTGTGTTTTTAACTCCTTTTAAATCTTTTACTGGAGCAGAAGCGCACCGAGGGATGGAGAAATTGGGCTGGAAATAACTCAATGCCTGATGGAAGCAGACTTGAGCCCACACAGACAGGAGCAAGACATGAAGACAGAGATTGTGAACTGTTTCTTGCATGTGTACTAGGTCTGTTCAGAGTCCCATCCTTGTTCCAATTTTGCAACTGTTTGCAGATCTAAATTCCATGCCAAACGGGGCTTTCTGTGGACCGTGGTTTACTTTTTCTTGTATATACTGTCTCATACATGGGATCTATTACAACTGTGTGCTTTTTATGGTTCAACGTATTCCCAGAGGGCAGATGTGCTCAGAAAGGTCTAAAGAGAGGCCTCAGGGGCCAGGGGCTCTCAGTTCCATCCCATTGGCCATGAGGTTAAGCTCAGACCACAGGCTAGATTCGTGGCTTGCAGTCAGAAAGTGAGTGAGGCATGAGGTAAGCAGTTAAAAAGGAGTGGGGCAGAAGTGCTGAAGAAGATCAGCCCATCAAAACCAGAGCATGCTTTCAGCAGAAATCTGAGACAATGCTCCATTACAGTATTTTGGGTAGTTTTTTTGGGTTTGTTTTGGTCTAGAACAGTAAGTACCACAATGCGTCTTCCAGACCCTGTGAGGACAGATGCATGTGTTCAGATTACAAAAGTATTGGTTGTGAGGGGTTATCAGCTGAGGTAACTTCTCTGAAAATGACTCTCAGTAGGAGGGATAGGCTTCATTTAGGATTACCCCACTTTACAAGGGCAGGCACCTAGGTTGTACAGAGGCCTATCACCCTGCCCTCTTGTAGGGATGACTCTGAAGCGCAAGTGAGTACAAGTCTCTAGAAGATGGATTGGGAAAATGTTCCTAATACTTCTCTGGAAGTTCTATCATTCCCTTCATCAAAACTTGATTCTCTGTCATCATAGGTGTTCCTCCTAATATCTCTCTAGTCTAATACCTTGCTCCATCTGAGAGTCTGTTTCCATGGAGCCAAGCCTAATACACTTGCTAATGTGAATGACCTGTTCATGCATGCTCATAGTTAAGGAGTCACAGCAAGGAGACTATTTAATCGTCCACATCACTAAAGATACTAGTATGCTTCATGGACCAATATAAAGGGACATTTGTATTAAAAGTTTGAGTATGTAACTCAACATCTACATGCCTGAAAATTTCTAATTCATGCTTTGATGGCCAGAGGCCTTCTCCTAGGTGGTTCTATTTAGGTCTTATTTAGCATAGAGCAGTGAGTTTAATTAGCATCTAATATTCTTTATTCTCCCATTGTCTTGGCATGTTTAGCCTCTCTGTCCTGTCTGCCTCTGGCTCAGTCGTCCTATCTACTCTTCCAGGCATCGCTTGACAGGTTCCTCCAGAATGAACCCAGTTCTTCCACACCAGAGAAAGGTGGGAGGTCCCACACTAGTGTTTCAGGGAGCAATCTGCTGAAAGATGCATCACAAGCAATGCTTTTTCCTCATGGTGTTCATGCATAGAAGCGCTGACAGCACAAGTCTTCCAGTATGTTGTGAAGTGTCTGGCCAACAGAAAGAACCCATCATTATCTGATAATAAACAAAATTTGTGAATAAATGGGTGAATGAGTCAACCGGAAAATTCCACATGCAAGAGGAGGCAGCTTGGAAGAGAGCACGCTTATAAGAAGTAGAATATTCTTCAAATATTTAAAGGGACATTAAATAATCCTTGTAACATAATAAAGAAATATGGACTGGATCAAGGTTTTATGAAGTAAATCTGTAATTGATTTAATAACTGTGAACAAGTTTCTGATTAATAAATTAGTGCCAATTTCAAGTCTCTAGTGATGGTTTTAAAACTGTATCTTGGACCATATCCTTTTCAATATTTTTTATCAGTGTCTTGAATAAAGATGCTAAAAGCATACTTGCCAAAATTTATGGCTGATGTGAAGTTAGGTAAAATAGTAAATGAATTGCAAGACAGAAAATAGAATGCAAAAATATCTCAAGAGGCTAGAATTATGAGCTGGGCTTGCCAAGCTGACGTTCAGGGAAGAGAAATAGAAAGCCCTGCCATCAGTTCCTGAAGCAACTGTAAAACAGACGGAGAGAAACGGGGAGCTGAGTGCACAGGTGGTACCCTTCCTCGGGGAGCTTGCTTTTATTTAAGCTCATGATGAGTTCACATAACAAACCTACTTTTTAAAGTTGCCTGAATGTCCGTAACGACAATAAATTGTGCTCTCACAAATGTGAAAAAGTTAACACAAATTTAGAAAACATGATTAGTAGTAAATGATCCTTAATTTTCTTAGAAGGTATAGGTTGACCACTGGGGGTGGTGTTCAGACCAGAAAAATCAAGCAGGAAGGAGTTCATGAAAGGATGAAGTTTAAGTAAATAAGGCTCTAGCATGAATAATATGGAAACAAGAGAAGTCAAGAGAGCTCTTATTGTTATAAAAACTGAAAGGTCAGTGGGATCAGTCTCTCTTTGTACATACTATCTTAAGATTTATTTTATTTTACGTATATGAGTGTTTTGCCTGCATGTATTATGTGCACCACTTAAATGCCATGTCCATAGAGGCCAGGAGGTGTTGAATCCCCTGGAACTGGCTTTAGAGTTGGTCGTGAGCATCATGTAGCTGCTGAGAACTAGATTCAGGTCCTTTGGAAGAATAGCCAGAATTCTTAACCACAGCCATCTGTCTTCTTATAGAATTGAAGTGGCAAAAATGATACTGAATGTAGTCAGGTATAGCAACTTTTTTCCATGCTTATGAAAGAGACATTTTTAATCACAGCAATGCAACAACTGTGTAGGTCATTGGAAGAAGAGTGAGCCACACTCTGACTAGTTACTACAAGAATGTAGGTGGATAATACCCAGTGGGATAATACCAAATGGGAACCCTCTGGAGCAGCTTCATTTGTTGCAGGGATAATTAGAGTCCATGACCTTTTGGATTCCTAAGATGCTGTACTTTGATATAAAACTCTAGAAAGCACATCTGTGCTTAAGTTAAGAAAAGTTTTCTAAGAATTAAACTTAGTTAACCCTTAAAGCAGTAGTGATTTATCTTTCCTTCCTGACTTACTGCCATGTTGGGAATACTTATATTTATTAGGAAGCCAGAGCATTGGCCTTTAAGGTACACTTAACACCCCAGTTCGAGGGAAAGTTAGAAGATGTAGAGCAGTAAGAAGGTACTGAGTATACTCCAGGTTATAAAAGAATTTGGAAAGTCACCTTCTCACACTTACCCAGCATGCCCATCTGCAAAATAGGGATAGTATAATTTCTTTGTATCTTATAAGTCATTTGGAAAATTCAATCAAATATCACTCATTGAAGCTTTCACAAAAGTTCACTGCCCAATGAGAAAGTTCATGTTAATTGTCAACTTGACAGATACTAGGAACACCTGAGAAAAGGGTCTCTGGGCATGCTCATGAGTGTGCATAGTGGTTTGAATGAAAAATGTCCTCCATTTAGCATTCAGGCTGTAGCATGGTTGTTGCTCACTACTATTAGCCAGATTCAGTTAGAGAATATGAAAAAAAGTAACATTTTACACCAGGACAATTAAAAAGATGCCTTTAAGGAAAAATCCCATAATGCTGAGACCTCTAGGGTACAACAGTGCAATCTCATTTGGAAAACATTTACTTGAAAATAAAATAAAATAAAATAAAATAAAATAAACAGTCTCCTGAGTATCCTGATCCATCAGAGCCACCTAGAGAAGCATTTTCCCAATTTCAAACTAGAAAGTACAGAAACCACTATAATGTGTTTGGCAGGGATCAGGCCACATCTAGAGCTTGCATCAGACCTTAGTACCATTGTCCACAAGGTACTGCATTCGAAATGAATAGTTACTGAGGCCTGTAAGCCTCACTATGGTTTCAGAAAGCAGTTGAAGCTAAGTAACATGGCAGAGCCAACTTTCCAACAAGGAGACCTGGGAGGCCAGTGTGTGGGGTGGTAAAGGCCGAACTGTAGCCGCAGTGGAGACTCCAGGACATTAGATGTCAACAATATGACACATCTATTGAGGAAAGCTACAGACATGGAGTGGAATCAGTTCACAAGAAAGGCTCTGTGTGCTGTAAACAGCAAATCTGTGCTTGGAAAGCTACCCACACTTCTGGGAACACAGATGATATGAGCGTGAGCCCTAGGCACTGAACACAGACAGGGGGATTTGCTGATTGAACTTCTGAGTTTTAATCTTGCTTTGCTCTGACCTTTCTTTGCTATTCTCCTGCTTCTCCATTTTGGAATAGGACTATAGTCTACTTTGTATGTCAGAAGTATGTAACCAGATACTTGATTTTACAGGGGCTTACAGTAAAGATGTTGGCCTGAATCATAGAAGAGATTTTCAGCTTTGGTTTTGAGCGACATTGGGAGTGTTAAAGTTTGTAGGGACTTTTGGAATTGGACATTGTGCATTTTACATCATGAGATGACCATAAACCTACAGGATCCTGGGGTGGAATATTATTATTTGGATGTGAAATGTCCTCTACAGGCTCATGTGTTTAAACACTTGCTGCCCAGTTGGTGGTGTTGACTTCGGAGCCTAGGGAACTGGTAAGAGGTCAAACCTGACTGAAAGAAGTGGGCTGCTAGGAGTGGTGTGTCTTAGGGTTTACAGCCTGGCACTACTTCCAAACTAGTATCTCTCTTTCCTGGTTGGCACCGTTTAACAAAGATCTGGTACACGTTCCCAACACCATAGAATCAACTGCCCTCATGCCTTCCCACCATGGTATAATGGGTTCACTCTTTGCACCCAAATAATTCTTTCCTCTTTTATTTTTATTTCTTATTGGGTATTTCATCACATCAACAGGATGAGTAATGAATAACATACCAACCTTCTTACCTTAGCTTTGGAGCACACTGTAGGAAATCTGTTTGCCATTATGAACAAGTAGCTGACTAGGAACCCTGGCTTGCTGTTTATATCCAGGACTACAAGAAAGTATCATACTGTATATCTCTAGCTTGGAAAAAGATGACATTTCAGACTGAGGTACAGATTTAACAAATGTTCATTAATTTAAAAGCATTGTGAACAGAAAAAAAAAAACTTAAGTAAAGTCATTGTAAATTGAGTGTCTGCCTGTATCTTAGGCTGTATTGGTGATATGTCTCTACTACAAATCCTCAATTCTGCCCTTAGTGCACTAAAACAGTTATAGAAAATACATGAACAGGTAAGGAAGGCCCTATGGTTGTCTGGATTTAAATTGTATGCTACAGTTTTCCATCTCCTGGATAAATTTTCTCTTTTGGGTGTGATTTTGCCTCACAGCGAACTTTGGCTAGATAGACTGACTCTCTCTCTCTCTCTCTCTCTCTCTCTCTCTCTCTCTCTCTCTCTCCCCCTCCCTCCCTCCCTCCCTCCCTCCCTCCCACTCTCTCTTTCTTCCCCCTCTCTGGGAAGGGTAGTAGGTAGGTATGCTAGGTATACTGGCATCTAGTTGGTAGAGATTAGGGACGATGTCAAATAGCAAAACCACAGAATACCCCACGCACAATACTCCTCACAGAATACCCCCCACAACAAAGAATCAGGAGATCCGTATCAATAGCGTTAAGACTGAAAACAATGATAAAGCTCAATCCTGAAATAGTCCTTTGCCCTTTCTGCTTACCTAACATCATCCTAATATCATCGCCGGCCTCAAGCTCAGTTTCCTCCTTGAACTTTGGAACACAAACTATTATAGAACCCTGGAAAGGCTGGGAGGCACTTAATTCAGATCAACTGCAAAACAATTCAATGTAAACATTTCTCAAAAGAATAATTTTATTTTTTTTATTAGTGGCATACTGAATAAAAATTCAACCAATACTTTAAATTAGTTTTAAAACCAAAATTATGCTGAGACATTCTCCAAGTGCGGTTTGCCCTTGGCCTCACTTAGAGCTTTCTGACCGGGACCCACAATGGTTGGTGACCAATGGTTTTGTGTGTTCGTCCATATTGAAGCGGGCTGGACTCTTCCAAAGGAATGAACACAGTGTTATCTAACCGATCTCCTCGTTCCATTCAACAAACAAATCCAGAGGCACAGAGGGGCTGAGTAATAGTTCTTGCCACTTCACTTAGTGCTAGACCTGTTAGAAGCATCCTCTTCTACCTCCCAAGGAAAATACGATTCAATCTCCCAAGGCCTTATGGGCTGTACTTTATAGGGGTAACAGGTGTCCAGTTTTGTCATATAAAATATCTATCATATTAAAACAAAAAAATGATCTTTCAATTTTCAAGACCTAAATTATTTTTAGTTAATGTACAATATCTAAAAAGAAGTATTTTAAATAATGCTATTAATTAGTTTTAAACTGTATACATCTAATTTATGTCAATTCTCCAAATAATTCCAAATTTCATTAAAATAAAACTCAGCATAGCATATCACATTTAGGTAGTTTAACAAAGGTTTATTTAAACATTTTCTTTAAAGATGAAGTATTTAAGGGTGATAAAGATAATTACTCATTGTGAGTATAATGGTTCATTTGACAGAGGAATTAAATGTAAGGATAATTTCTAATAAAAATGAAAAAAATCTCTTCTTCCATCCTGCTTTATAATGTACTTAAAAAAGAAGATGGTTTATAAGATGCTTCCAGTTCTACTTGTTCATAACTCCAAACTCTACAGTTGCTCTGTAGGGTTCCTCAATATTACTTAGTACAAATGAGCCCTGTATTCTCCTGAATCCTCAAGGTGGTGTGTATACATGCAGCAGGTGATGAATTGGTTGAGGACAAGTGTCATAAAAATACAGTGCTGTAATCAATTTCAAT